ATGTTCCTACGATGCGCGCGATTTTGTTTTGAGGTTGAATCTACAGTCCATTTTAAATGAGATGAGAAAATTCAATCGCCAATTGAGGTATTTAGGTTACCTTAGTTGACCTAGACTGTAATATTATTCGAGAATTACTGATAGTTTAAAAGCATACTCAAATTGAATAATATCATTAGATCCGCAGTTGGTGGTCACTCTGGCTTTCTGCTAGACCATTTTTTATACAAGCCTTTATATTTAAATATATCCATATTTATTGTGACATGACTTTCTATTTCGAAGGACAAGTTGATTGGAAGGAATTAGTGGAATGGTCTCACCGGGAAACGAACAAGATTTGTTGTGAAATGGATACTGTTTGATTGTGCGAAGAAATCCTCTGCTAACCATCAATGGAACTCGATGGACTTGTGCTAAGCTTTTGTCCGTGCCGCCATGACAAACATCATCATAACACGAATCCATACTTTCCGAAATAGCGCAAGAAATATACTAAACCAAAAGAAAAGTTGGCCAGTTGCAAATCTAGTCTCTTTTTTATGCACCTAACCTCGCGATCTGAACAAGGATTCCCATGATCTTGTTGGCTACCTCCAACTTACTCTACTTACTTGCAAATGAGTGAATCTAATTCAGCATTAAAGCATGGTACGTTCTTTTATTTGTTTAGGCAAACAGCTTCCATCGAATGAACTTCCGATTCACCAAATAGCATTACTCATCTGCAAGCGTGCAGAGTCAGTTGAAGGTAGCCTAATCTAGTTCCCATGGTAATGTGTATTAATACTGACTGGAATTGCGGCCGCCTTTTCTCTTGGTTTAGTATATTTTTGCTCTATTGCGTTGGGTTTGTGTTCCTTCTCGGATGATGTCCGTCACGGCGGTACAGGCAATCTTCCTTCGGTTTCCCATTAGACCATTCCACAAATTCCTTTCCACCAACTTTTCATTCACAATATCTCGCCAAAGAATTCTTCTGAACCCACTTTTTCTTCATATATGTACTGTTTTATTTTCCTCTTTTAGCTCAGAGTATGACAATGTGGAGAGTGATCGCGATATGCTGCCGCCAGGACGAAAGGTCTCTGCTGTGATCCCCGACAGAGTTGAATTCCTTTCTCCCGTCCGAGACACAAATGGCTATTGGCAGTCGCCAGTCGGCTCTCATGACGCTGTCGAAGCTGAGCTAACCAATATCCGTTTGTCAAGACAACCTGACAAGAATGCATCTTCGTCGCCATGCCATCCAATTCCACAGCAACAGCAACAACATCAGCAGTATTCGACTTCCCGACCGAGCCCTGTTGGGCAAGCTGATCTCGACTCGGCCAGACTTTGTTCTGAGAATCAAGGGCCCAAGCTAAAGTCGCGAAAGATGAAGCAACGTATGCTGGATGTAGCAGCTAGACAGGCGCATCCGCCTTCCTCGAGGCTTGTCACCATGCCATCCGATGCTCCTGTCAAAGAACGTCCGGAGAGACGTCGATCTGTCCCGAAAGTTGGAAATGCCGAGCGAACCGGTGGACTTCCGGCTACTCGATTGAAACAGCTTGTCACGGCTCATTTCGACGCCGAGATTGCAGCAGAAGCGAGGCGCATCTGCCGCCAGTTCCGCATGGTAGACTGGCTTCCTTTGGGTCAAGGTTGGTTCCCTTTTGGCCCGTCTGCTCTCTCGTCAGATCGGTCATTTCGGGGTCCATTTGATGCACATTTGTTAGAACGTCACGCATACTCAATAATAGATCTCTTAGACGTGGTTGACCTCGTTGTCGCAACTTGGTCTTGTTGTCAGGGTGACTATGTAGAAGGCACCTAGTCCGAAGTCGTCTGCCATACTAGTTGTCATGATTTCCAGCATCTGAGAATGTATCAAGTCTACTGTCAGATTCTGGGAGTCATGACAACTAGTATGGCAGACGACTTCGGACTAGGTGCCTTCTACATAGTCTCCCTGACAACAAGACCAAGTTGCGACAACGAGATCAACCCACTTCTATAAATCGAAAGGAGACTGCGACCATACCGGAGGCCACAACATCTTGGTCTTCATATATTTAATATATCTCTTATTTGCATACACGTGGATTATAAAGCCATCTTGAAACTTTTCTGGTGGAAACATTTTATGTGCCAGTTGCTTTAATGAATTAAATTCCAACATATTCTGAGTCTTTGTGGCTTGGTTAAACCAACCGGTTTGAGCTCCTATGATTTGTCATTTTTTGTTTGTCGCTTGACTCTGCCTTAGTAACCAACTTCTTTTGGATATTCCGTTCATTTTTGACCCATTTCTGGATCAGCCGAATTGTTATTATTATCATCCATCCTAACATGGTACACCTTCTTCAGAAACTCTGCATATTTTCTTAATTTGCTTGCATCTTTTTTCTTCTTTCAGTC